TTATCATTCCTATTATTTTTTTTCATTGAAGTCACGTAATAAACATTTAGCGAGTTGTATTGACTATCAATAACTTTCTCTTACTAAGGAATATCTCATTTAATAGTATTATTTGTGTTGATAACTTGGACATCATTGCTCATTCATCAACATATTTGTAGAATGCTGTCACCTTCATTAGATCGAGAATTTTGAGTATGAGTGTGATTTGTGTTAAGAATAGATACGCTCACATCCATACCCATTGATGCTGAAAGAAAAGAGATAAAAGTTTTATATGAAATGTAGTTTACAAAGTTTTCATTGTTCAAAACTTCATTTCTTTGCTATTATTGTGAGAATACCAGCAAGAAACTATTGTATATCAAAAATGAAATGAATCTATTATTTTAGGTTGTTAAAATGTAAAATAATAGATATTGATGATCAAAAATTGCTAATAGATAGTAAAAACTCATCTTGATTTACTACAAACAGCAGAATTTTGCCGTTATCTAATGTCATAATTAGCGAGTAATAATGAAATCAAATTGCATAGCTCTCAATGAATAACATTCCAGGACATCATCAAATATGTTCCTTTTTTTCCGAGTTCCATTCTCAAAAATTCGATCTTCGGATGAGAGAAGTGTAAGTCATGCATAAATTAATTATTAATGTCAGTTATTCAGTTCGATCGTCTCATTCTAAGTCTATCACAGTTATCTGCAATTTATGGTTAATTATGTCTTTTGATCGTATTAAAAAAAAAGTTTAATGGCATGGTTAAGCAGTGGGTGGCTAATTTCATTACTTTTTCATCTTTCTCGACGTCATGTTATCAATGCTGTTTCTTGTTCCTCTCTTACGTTCATGTATAAAAGGATAAAACTAGAAGCAACAAAAACTAGCACGCAGTCTTTTCTAAGAATGAATTCTACAAGTGTTAACAACAAAACTTCTACAAGCGCTAACAATAACTACATTATCCTACTTCCACTATCTATATCTTTTGCTTTGATCGCTTTAATTATTGCTAGTGGTATATTAATATTGGTTTCACTCAACAAACAGTTACATACTGTAAAACATCTGTTAATATGTAATACGTGTGTTTCATCAATTGTATACTGCATTGTTTCGAGTACAAATTACATCTTTCTCATTTTTATTCCATGGGAAGCAAGTGATGTTTTCTGTCGTTGGCGAGGCTATTTCAGTTATTTGTCACTATCTAGCGTCATGTATTCCTATGCCATTCAAGCATTATCGCGATATTTCTTTGCTGTCTTGTCGACAAGATATCGATCGATTACTTCATTTAAAACACATTTTATTCTGATCGCCATGCAATGGTTCATTGTTGTGCTCCTACCATTATCGACTGTCATTACACAAGACGTTCGTTATGCGCCGTTTTCTCTTTGCTGGGTGCCCATGGCTCGTACACTTCATGTTTCTTACACAATTGTCGCCTATTATGTAATACCCTTTCTGTTCATCGTCGCTATGTACAGTTATATTTATCGTCGAACCAAACGAAGTTCCAATATTGCACTGTCAAATGTGGCCACGAGAAATAATAAACGTGATCTGGAAGTTCTGCGCAATATTATGATCTTACTAGGAATCTACATAGCTGGCGGAATGCCAACATTACTTTATTTTGTTACACGAATTCAAGTTTTCTATCAGATCGGAATTGTCTTTATGTCGTGTATACTTGCTATTGAAAAAGTTGTCACCATTCTTCTCGATCGTGATATTCGAAATACTGTCAAGCGTTTTCTAAAACGATCAACTACAAAAGTTGTGCCAATCAACCATAATACTACTGCCTTAGGAAATCTCACTGTTACTCGTCTCAATTAATCCTTATGAACTGAATTGACTAATTTTCCTATTGATTTCCTATTTACAAAGATTGATGAATCAACAGTGACGCACTCATACTCATGGTAACCTGAATAGGTGATGTGACATCGAGCAAATCAATTTTATTCTTTCTATGAACATAGACATTAAAGTTAGGACTTATATCTTATATCATACTCACTGTCTGTTTATTCATTTTCGTTCAATTCTTGATGTCTGTGTAAATCGTATTTTTTTGTGTAAAGTCACTATTTATACAATAGAGTTATATTTAATTGAACAATAAAATAATTTAAATGAGTAATAATGAAATTTAGCAGTAAATCTACTGAATGGGCAATAATTATATTGAATGAGCAATAAATATATTCAATGAACAATAATTTATTTAAATTAAAGATAAATCTCATATAAAAAGGAGCAATATGGATTGATTTTGTTATGGCACATTCCAAAGATGTACTATAAGAGAGAGTTGTTTTATACTATACATGTGTATTTTCGGTCTCTTTCTTTCTTTCTTTCTTTCTATACATATATATCTACGTCTTTCGTTGTCTTTCTTTCTGTCAAGTAGGAAGTTGCACCGGGTTTTCTGGATTCGGATCTTTTTATTTAAAAATTTTCGACTATAAACGGCTCTTGTACAGTTCTAATCATATAGTCTGAAAGAGCAAACATTGCTCTACAATATGTATACTCGAATAGCAGTCCAATATTCGGGATGATAGAATGATTCACGATCCGTTGGTCGGGTCCAAAAAACCCAATGCAACTCCCTACCATCAGGTACATTTCCATATTGCTTTCTCTTGGATTCTTCATTTCTTTCTTTCATATGATCATTCAGCTATATTCCATTCGTATCATATCTATTCCTGGTATATTCCGTCATCTCAGATATATATGTCTACGTATGTGATAACAAGAAGCCTCTTATTTTTCGGAAGTAAACAGCATATACACAAGAACATATTACAGATCTAACACATTTATTTATACAAATACGTAAGAAAAAGAGGTAAAACATTTAAAGCAAAAAAGCTTTGTTGACACAATAATATACTATATCTTTCATTTTTCTTTTTTTTTATTTTCAGTTGTAACTAAAACTAATGTAGTTTTTTTTATTGCTAAAATATGAAATTACTATTGTTATTTAACGAATTAATTATTGTCCATTTAATAGTATAGAATTTCTCAAACAAAGTTTTTTTATTGCTCAAATAAATACTAGCCTATACAATATAAAATCAGTACTTGATGTTCAAGTCATTTTAGGTGTGGAAGTGTGTCTGTCGCTCTTACCTTTAATTGCACTAATACTTGCACCTACTCATACCCATATTCACACGTCGAGACTATGAAACTGTGTACAAAACACTTGGAATAAATTTATTTCATTTTTTGATTTGAAAACATTACACAACAATTTTAAAGGATATTGGCTGCGTTATCATCATTTGAAAAAATCAACATAGGTAAAAGCAAACTCTTTGCTCTTCTTATGATAGAGAAAATTGTTTTTGTCGTTCTGATCGCTTTCAAGTCATATAATTTCATATTTTGTTGTTACATATAAGACCATCCGCAATTCTGCGTGACTTTAGTCATTGCAGTTGAATATCTTTCAAAAGCGTAGAACATATCTTTTAAGCAATTTATTGGAGTTTTTTTTCTTGAACGATAACACATCGTAATTGTGGGTGTGGGTCTTGTTTGTAATTTATTCCGCACCCACACCCACATCCTTCTTTTTTTTATGTTTTTTCAGTAGAATGAGCTGATATTTGTAGCATATATACTAGACATCTAGATCTATTCTATGTTAAAATTTCAGCTTTCTATCTCGTATAATCACAGAGATACAAATAACTTAAAATTCATAGAAATTTTTCGAAATAATTAATGAATGGGCTAGAATAAATGGCCAAGTGTTGTATTTTATTTTCTCATCATCTAATGCGTTATATCAAAAAACAAAATATATCATAAGATGCAGTGTGAAAAGCTCTACAGCTTACGTAGTGAAGCTGATTTTAATTGTGCGTCTTTTGTTTTCAAAAAAAGGAAATTCTCTACGATCGATTTTTGATGCTACGAAAAGTTCACTTTTTCTATGCGAACGAATTCCTTTTTCTCATTTCATCTTTTTATCGTCTAATACATTTTCTTAGGAAAAAAACAGGATACACCACAAGATGCACAATAAAAAGCTCTACAATTTACAATGCAAAGTTTATTTTCAAAAAAAAATGCGCGAGCATATCATTGTTAACTTCTCGAGCTGTTATCACATAAACTTGTGCTTACTCTGAAATGATTTCTCGTTCACATATTGCACAAGACAACGGAGACTTAATGGAGGTGAGCTCTTAGTCTGTCACTAATCAAATCTATGTAAAAAGTAACCCAATCAAGATGGTTGTCTTCTGTGAGAAGACAGACAGAACAGAAGAGCTGCTAACAATTAATTATCGCATCACAATCTTAGTTTTATGTCTCATATGTGGTGCTAATGAGACAGATTAAGCATTCAGCTGGATATTGTTAACTAGCCGTCTTGAAAGGTTTAGTTTACGATAGCAAAAAGAAAGTTGAGAGAGAGACCAGAGCAATGTATCGACGGCCAAAAATCCATATCTTTTCTTTCGCTCTCGCCTATCAGAAAAAAATCTACAAGAAAAAACGACTACGAATTTTCTCTTGCGTTCTCTGCTAGGAAAGAATGGAAGAATACTAACATTGTGCAATTACTTTGTATACATTATTTCATAGTGACGTCACCTTAGATTGTTTTCTTTCCTTTATATGGATATGTATAGGCTGTTTCAAACTCACTAACAATCGTATTTTGCTATACAATAACGTCATACATACTTATTCTGTTATTTCCCAACTATATCGATAGAGATGAAAATTACAGAATGAATGTGCATGACATCATCGTACAGTAAAATACGTAAGAAACGATATTGATTAGAGGGTTATGCGTATGCATCATATTTTATCCGTCTTGGAAATATCCTAGGATGATTCAATGTCGGTATATGTCGACACATATAGTATCTATTATAAATAGACTGATCATTTTTCAATTGTCTTAGTAGTATCATCCAGTTTCCATTAATTGAAATTCATACACAATGGTAACAATGTTCTTTGGACCTCTCAAAGCTGGCTTCGAGCTACTTTGTGGTGACGAGGAAGGAGCATCAAGAACAATGAATGAATTCACCCAAACAAACCCAATTGTAATGCCCTGTCGTCTTCTAGGTGCTGCGATTTGCAATGATCCAGATGACTGTGAAGAAACATTGAAAGCATTCGGCAAAAGTATGGGAAATATGGCATGTTCAACACCTTTAGTTGGTCATGCAATAAGTGCTGGTTATGCGATTGCCGGCAAAGAAGAACAAGCTGAAAAAATCTTTTTACAAGCTTCAAGAACAACTGTAGTGGCAGGTGCTGGAATAGTAGGATCTATTGCTGGTCCAGCAGGAGCGGCAGCTGCAGCAATTGAAGCTGGGACAATATGGGATATGACGGAATCTCATGCGACTGGTAAAGCAAAAGGAATAATGACTGTTGTTGAAGCTATTAGAGATGATAAAGAACTACGTCCTGGCGAAGTATTTGATTCACTTATGACACCTGTTGGTGATGCAATAACAGGAGTAGCTGCTGCAAAAACTTATGACAAAATAATGGATGCACGAAAAAAAAATCAAATGAGACAGCAAGTTCAAAGTGAAAATAATGTTAAGACTGAACAAATCAACAATTTAGAGAAGAAAATAGCCGATCAAGGTGAGTGAATCTATACAGAACCTACTAGAGATGTGCATAGGCTGAGATCCAATTCGACAGCTCAATGGAAAAGTTTTAAAATTTTTTTAGACTTGCAGATGTTTCTGAAATGCTTTTGGAAAGTTTTTGAGTTTTTTTCAAAAAAGCATCGATAAACTTTTCGAGGTTCGGCCTGAACTCGGTCCAGCCAAAAACGTCAACCCCAGTCCGATCCGACATTCAAAAATTTCTGTCCGAGCCGGACTGGACTACACGTCTCTAGAACCTACCATCATTACATTCACCCGTTATCTAGCACTGAGATAGATATCTGACTGAGTTTAATGGCGAAACCGACTTTCGCAAATATCGAAACTCTAATTGGCCTATACCAGTTGATAACGCATTCCATTATGAACAAAATTGAGCGTTGACAGCTATCCTATGATACTCGTATAACAAAATACGGACTTGAGTAAGTACGAACAGAACATTTGATGTAGAACTTCAATTCACAGTACCGAGATTATGACTGTGATCTGGTCTCCGAAAATCGATTCCGACAGAACTGTCTTTGCTACTTTTCACTGAAATTTTCTAAATTTTTGTCGAAAAATTTTAATTCTTGTCAGAAAATCATTAAAAAATACTTCCAAAATTCTTATAAACCTTTTATTTGGCTAAAAATGAAACATATATAAAGGCTACGACCTAGTTTCTCGCTAAACTTTCTGAAAACCTCAGCAAATGTATAAGATAACCTAGTTTGGAATCTAACTTTTAAAAAAACTGATCGAAAAACTTGCATTACCGTGATCTTTATTCAAAATTGCATATCAGCATGGGCATGACTGGTTTCGTATTGATCTATTTAGGTGTGGATAATTCCAAAAAGCTAGCCAATGATATGTCAAAAAAAGCAGATATTTTACGAGAACAGGTCGCTGAAAATGAATCCAAATTGCTCGAAATTCAGAGGCGTCAACGTTGCAGAATTCGTAATCCAAATGAACATGTTAATGGACATGTTTCTGTAACAATAATTGATGAATATGAAAACGAATCTACTGGCTACAGTAAAAGACTAACAGATGCAAGTGAAACGACAAGATTTGACAGAGGACCAACATCACGATTAGAACAGGCACAATCCTCTGTCACACGGATACAAGGAAAACCACCTTTGAATATATGTGGCGAACATATGGCCTATCAAGGTCTTTCTTCTGATCCAGTTATCACTTATGCACTTCAAATTAAAGATGGTGTTGTTCAATGTGTCGACCGTTGTGCCAACTGTGCACAATATGATCTTGGAAATGTAATTACTGATTCTATAAATGGCACACCGGTTCCTTTTTCACTTAGTGAACTACCTTCTCCCGGTTCTTATATTGGAGCCGTTGTCACTGGAACGATGACTGTGGCCGTATCACAGAGAAGAAATGGCCCAGGTCGGTCGTGAGCAAGAATATGCCTGTGTCGGTTTTTTTCTGTTAAGTTCTCTGAAAAAAAAAAATAAACGGAAAGTAAATCAATCTGAACAATGATGATATAACTAAGAAGAGAATATTGGTATGGACATGTTTTGTTCGAATGAAGCATTTCGTTTGAGGGACGGGTGTGGGTGGGGTGTGGGTGTGTGCGCCAGTGTAATTCTTTTATTTCGTCTACCCCACACCCCGGAAACGCGTCCCAAAACCTTAAAATGGTTATATGAGTACACATTCGTTATATATACATCAGATCTGAACGATTTATTATCAATCTCGATGAATTCAGAAACGTCGATGTTGAATTAGATCTTTATCAATTCATACTTTAGTGTTGATCATATGAAATTTGTGGAAAATCCAAACATCATTTTCGATATTTATCATATAATCATTTATTTGCAGAAAAATCGGAAACTGCCGTATTGAGAATACTGAAAAATGTATTCTAGTCATCAAAATCTCTATTAATGTTGTTCAGTATCTTTAATCCAGATTTCTAAGGTCTGTAATGGGAATGGAAGGAGAGTCGCGAAACTTCGACTTAAAACTTACACTCACTATTTTCTTCGAAAATATGTGTGAATTCCACAAAATACAACGAAGTTCGACGCTTCTAACTCGGAAACTTTGCACATAATCTACATTGAAATCAATATAGATAGAAAGTCTCTATCGAAATTATTCAAATAAAACGTCCACATTTTGATCCGAATGTAACAGAAAAGTGTTCGGTTTCGGTCAGAAAAAAAATGTACTAGCGAACAAGGCTATATCATTTTCTGGCAGTGTCAATGCATTCAAGACATCTTGCGCGATCCGCATATCCTTTAATGTTCTCCTTCCTGGAGGTTCATTACTTTTTTGTGATACTCACATATATTTTCGAAGAAAATAATGAGTGTCAGTCTTAAGTTCAAGTTTTCGTGGTTCTCCGTCTTTCTCCCAGCCCCTCCATTACAGACACTTAGCAATTAAGAATAACGGGCGTCAAACTTTATAATAGTGCATAAGATCTTCTGTAGATATCATGAATATGTAAAACAAATTTATTTGCCAATTAATTCAATGCTTATAATAATAAGAATGTTGAACTACAAAAAACGAATTAAAAAAAAAAGTGAAAGTTAATGAGCGAATAGTAACAATGCAAAATAAAAATAGGGCGCCCGTCGAAAAAACAAAATCTGTTCGAAATACAGAAATTAGAAAGGTTCTTACTCTGATTTTCGATTATCCTACAAAACAACTATACTCTGCGAGAGGTTTCTCATTTTACATATTTTGTATTAGTTTAATGAGGCTAGAAAATATATGTGAGTTCGACATTTCAGTCACAAGCTTTTTTTGACTCACTATCAAAATTATAATAGTAAATATTGTAGTGATCGCTACTCAATAATTTTTGTCTAAACTTTTAAAACACATGAGAATATGACATTTAACAAAAGTATTACACAATCATAGAAGATATTACTTCCAATGAAAAAATTATTATGATGATTCATTCAGTCATCTGAACGAAAATAATTGAATATCACTGTATGTACAACAATAAAATGTGAATTATCTATTTTCATTTACTTAACGATTGTGTTTGTGTATTTGTTTGCCTTATTTAAGACACATCTATTGGTTTATGTAACATTTTGATAATCCACTAAGTCATTTATTAAAGTAAAGATCTATTTTGTCGTCATTTTCATTCAATATTTCATTATCTCATACAGCATGTTGATATATAACAATGACGCATAGACTCATGACATCTTATCTTATCTAAATATAATCTTTAACAAGAAAAAAAAACTATAAGAAAGCTTTTTTCATATTTATTCAAGTATTATTTTCATTTTTAAATTCAGAATAGATGATCATCTGTTGTTTTTCTCTCTAGTTACTATTAATTTCAGAGTGAACACCATGGCCATGGATCTAACCTGTCTTAGTATTCATCCTCCATTACCAACAATACCAATAATTGCTAATGATTCTAGTACAATTATTCATCCAACTTATAAACCAAATAGTGGTAGTATTTCTCAAATGATATCTGCTGCAATGGCACGTTCAACATTTTCTATAAATGATGTTCGATCTTTATTAGAAAAAATATTTAATAAAAATTTTAATTCATGGAATTTTTCTGAAATAACTAAAACAAAACCAATACCATCAATTATTATTTATACTAGTATAGCTCTTGCTTTATTTTTAATCTTTTCAATTATATTTTGTATTGTTTCATGTTGTCATTTTAAAAAAAATCAAGTAAGAAATTAATTTATTTAAATTTAAATTTAAATTATAATTTTGTATTTAAAGGGAAAAAAACGACAACAATCGAAAGCTTCATGTATTTCTAAATGTTTATTAATAATTGTTTTTTTACTTGGAATAGGTGATATGGGTTATGTTGTTTATCGAATAAATCAATCGAAATATTCTATTGATAATACAATTAAAGAAGTTAATCGAGATATTTATCCAAAAGAAATATCTGAACATATTAAATATTTAAATAGACAACTCGAAAATCTTGACCTATATTTTATACAAAGTAAACTTTATTTAATTATGAATTTTAATTTTTTTCTTCTTCTTTTTTTTTTAAAGCAAATTCAATTTTTATTAATGCATCAAAATCAATGTTAGTCGATGCATTTGATGGAATATTAAAAGAAAAATATTTTCTTCAAGATATTATTCAATCTGTAAATAATATTGATAAATCTATTCAAGAATTGCAAGATATAATAAATAAATCATCAACATTATCTCCATTAGCTATACAAACATTTCAAGAAATTCAAGAACAATATAAAAATACGATCGATTATTTACAAATACCATTAAAAGAAATTTGTAATTATGCTAATGGAACACAAACTGATATTGATATGAAATTATTAAATGTATTAAGTTTTGTTCATGAAAAGTTAATTACAGCAATTAATTCAATCAATAATGATATTCTAAGTAAAATAACACCATGGCAAAATTATATGTTATTAAATATAGATCTAGAAGAAAAAATTCGAGGATATATTAACCTTGTTGGAATTATTTTTCTTGTATTAGTAATTGTTCTTGGTATGATTCCTGTATGTTTTCTTATTTTCATAATTATATATCGTTTATGTAATCAAAATGAAAATAAATATAATAACAACAATTCGTTAGTAATTTCTATTTATTTACTCTTTGTATCTGATAATTCTTTTTCTTTATAGTAATCGAATACAAAAGAATGATGTAATGGTAGTGTCGGATATGTTTTCCATGAATAGTTATCCTAACAGTCAGAGCGATTATCAACATAAGACAGTTAATAAAACGACACCGTAAGTGCTTGAACAAAATTTTTTCTTATTAGTTTTACTTTATATTTTATGAAACATGATCTAAAAGAAGTGTTGAAGTATATAGGCTAGAAATTCGCATCTCCCACAGACCGTAACAAGTGCCTTAGCACCACGCCCCTGCACTATAGAGTGTAGCAGACATTGTTGATATAACGTTTTGTTATAATATATGAACTACTTTTTTATTGTATTTCTGGCGGAAAGAGAGTGAAGAAATGTGTTCTTAAAATAGTAACAGCAGTTACATCATGTTTCACATTTTAATTCCGTATAGATTGTGCTAACAATTCTTTTTTCAGCGCAAATCATCATCGATATTCAAATAAATCGAAAGGAATGAGTTCTAATGATAGTTCATCTGGTGTATTACTTTGTTTGATACGTATTGCATTTGTTATTATGATTATTATACTTATTGTTATGGTTCTACTAACTGGTGTTTATTATGCTCTTGATCTTGGTGTTCAAGGTGCTTGTCGAGCAGTTCATGATGATCAACCTTTTCTAATTAATTTTGTTACCGGTAAATATATTTATTTGTGTAAAATTAGATTTTGTTCTTTATTTATTTCTTTATTTTTTTGTTTTTGAATTATTTAGATAAATTAATCGAATGGAATGTTATGCCTTATTATAGTTCTGAAATCAATAGAACAGTAATTGATGTGATTAGTGATTGTAGTAATAATATACATTTTAGTAAAAAAATTTTTGAAAATTATTGGTCTGTGTTAGATAATGATGTTAAGGATATGATGAATACATTAAGTGAACATATATTTAATCAATTTATTAAATCTATTGGACAAATTGATATTCCTTCAGATATTAATTTACTCATACAATTAGCTAATCAAACTAATCGAACAGATGTTTCAATTATAGTTCAAGAAAT